ATTCAGACCAGAAATAAGGAAGCTACTCCTGTTCTTCTTTCCATCCTGGAAAGCATCCAACTTCCTCCCCAAATCATTGAATGGTTGAATGGTTTATCATGCTAAGGTTATATTTAAATAATTTTGAAAAAAAGGAGGGGGAAATTTAATGATATAACAATGTTCAATATACAATATATTGCTTAATATTGTTAATTTTGAAGAAAGATGTGTCCCTATATGTGTCAAGACACTGTAATTGTAACGTCAATATAAAGGATCCAAAATATCAATCAATAAAATATTCTCCTCCAGACCCCAAAAAATAAAGGTGAGACCCTGACTTTAAGAGGGTGCATGGGAAGAGCAGTCACCTGAGCACTGGAACCACAATTGTGATTTGCTGTTATGTGGACTGCGCAAAGAGGGGGTGGGATTCAGGCTGGTTACACTCTATCCCCTTCCCCCATCCTGCCTCTTCTCCTAAGGGCCAGCAACATTCTTACCCTAAAGAATGGCATAGAATGTTGTGGGATTCCATGTTTATGTTGTCAGTGCTTTTGCTTCAAATAACTACATATCATGCATAATTTTCTATGATCTCCAAATAAGATGGTTTTTTTCATCAAAACAATACAAAGAGAATAGGGAAGACTCTTCAGTACAGTCCTGGAGATGAAAGCACTTGTTTTCATCAAGAATGGAAAGGGGAGGACCGGCTCTAGGCACCAGCAAAGCAAGCACGTGCTTGGGGTGGCACAATTCCAGGGGCGGCATTCTGGCCACTTTTTTTTCCCCCTCTCTTGGACAGTTGCGCTCTCAGAGCTTGGGGTGGCAAATTTTTTGTTTGGAGTGGCTAAAAACCTAGAGCCGGCCCTGGGAAAGGATATGTCCTGTTTTGACCTTGGCCACCAGCCTGTTAGTAAATATAGTACATGGCAAGACACCTTGCTAAATATGATCATCAAAAACTGGATTATGTGGCTGAACTCTGCTCTGATACTGAAGCATTCAAAATCTATTTGGAAAAATGTCAACAATATATTGTATATATCCACAAGAAACTTCAGGCAGCAGCCTCTCCTCAGGTTATTACACTGTCACCTGAAACCTACTCTCTGAAATGAGTGTAACTGCTGCTTTCAAACACCTGACTCAGCTCTCATTAGTCTTTGGACTAGTTTGACAGCTGTTCTTAGAATTTCCTACATAAAGAATGAGAGGACTTAGAGGCTAAGCAAAGGGGCTTGGTGGGTTGTTTTTATGTTGCCCTCTAAGTTATTGATATGTAGTTAACGCTCTTAGGTTGCATCCGATGAAGTGAGCTGTAGCTCACGAAAGCTTATGCTCAAATAAATTGGTTAGTCTCTAAGGTGCCACAAGTACTCCTTTTCTTTTTGCGAATACAGACTAATACGGCTGATACTCTGAAACCGCTCTTAGGTTGGTAACCTATGGTTAGTTATGAGTTTTTCCATTTGTTTTATTCTCGTTCCAGCTGTATTTTATCGAATTTTAACACCCTCTATGCCATATCAATTTAAAATAGGAAAAGTTGCAGTAAAGGGCAATCATGCTTGGGCTCAAGGTTCTTAATTTATTAGGCGTGTTAAGGAAACTGTCTGTGCTCTTTGGAAAAGATGATCTTAAAGGGGACCCCAATGAGGCTTAATAGTCCCCGTAACAAAGTCAATACTGACCTATTGGGTAGCTGACTTTTAATGGTGACCATAGTAATGCTATTAAGTCAAGAGGCTACTGATGTACTTAAATTTAAACTCATCCTTAAGTACTTTGCTGGATTGGGGCCTTATTAGTGGAATCAAGTTACATTTAGTTCCAAATAAAAGGAACGAACACCATCAACATAAGCTAGAAAATGGCCAGACACAAAAGAAGTTAGAAAAATATCTATAATGAGTACAGTATATGAAACAAAGTGTACAATCAATCACTATATAAAACAGAATATTCAGTGCACAGAGAAAAAGCAATAACAGGAGTAACTAGTGCAAGCTTCTTTTGAATAAGAAGACATTGTGGGTACATATGCTAAATCAGAGAAGAGACTGGCCTACATAGTTTCCTAGCCTTTTTATATTGAAAGAACAGTATTGCACCATACATACATGCAGGCACATATGTATTAAAGCACATATGCACATACCTGCTTACCAGTGTATATTAGTAATCCTTTCCAAGATTGTGTCATACAAAGCATCATAGGGCATCTGAGCCTGAATCCATAATATGAAGGCATTAGTAGGTGTTTGCCACGATGTGTTGCAATGGGTTCTGTTGTAATGTCTGTATGGTTGGAGTTTTGTCAAGACAGACCCTAAGGAGGCTTTCAGAACTGTAACAATCTATCATATGAATCAGTATATAGAGAGTCTTTAACCCCCAGACCATTGACATGTTTTCTTTCCAAATCATTAAAGTCCATCATATCAATGTACACTATTAAGGATACTTAATGTGTAGATTATGGATCTTTGCGTTAAACAAAGTTTTTGTTTTAATTGTTTTCATGCTAAGCCATGTATGCCAAACTTCATACCTGAGTAGATTTTTAAAGGCCAGTTATTTGTTTTTCATAGAAATGATGGCTGAACCTGAACTTCGGTGACTCTGTTAGACAACACTATAATGACGTGAGGAAAATGCCTCTAAAGTATAAGGATAAATTATTACTGTTGTTATCTCAAAAATAAAACCAGATATGGAAATGAATGTTTTGTGCTTTTTAAAAAAAAGTATATATTGACTTTATCTAGGAATCCTTTAGGTATGACAGCTGTGAATCATCTGGCTGGTGACGGGGTACCTATATACAGAAAATTACAAGCACAAAACCGTAATCATGTATCAAGTGTCCAGATCCTGAGCTCAAGGGGCAATGAATAAAACTGTTCTTACATCTTTCTCAATCGAATGACAGCTGTCATCACCATTTTGCCATTGGCGATTTTGTCACTGGCGCTCATGAATGTCTAACAAAGGATTAGGCTGAAACATTCCGACTTACAGACACAGAAATGAAATTAATGTTAAGGATTTTGAAATCAGCACCCTTCCACTAACAGATCGTTAGGCTAGATGAACAACTTTGAAGATATTTTTGGTGTATGTATCCTAGCTGTTCTCGAGAGTGGCAATCTGAAGTCTGGTACCAGTTGGGCCAGAAGTTACAACACTAAATAACACGTTCTTTGTTCCCAGTGAAGATAGCAATAAAAATTATAGAATTGTAAGATACTGGAGACAGAATGGTGAAGAATCTGATGGGTAAAAAATTCAGTCATACTTGTTGTTTTCCACTGCAAATAGATATTCAAGTTATATGGACATCAGGAAGACTACAGATTGTAAATCAGAAATAGATGCTGATGATAATATGTAGCACTTAAGTAGAGCTTTACATTTTCAAAGTGCTTCTCAAGTTATGGGCCATCACCTTGAGTCCTTGGGAATTCTACCCAAGTAAGGGCTGAAGGATTTGGCTCTTTAACTAATTAACCTTACAACATAACTCTCAGATAGGTACATGCGTACTTCTGGCTGAGAAAAGAGAAATGAATGGAAGAATGCAGAGTCCATGGCAATGTCTTTAAGAGGGAGTGCATTGTATTTCAGTACTGTCTGTTTCAGTAGTCAAAGGAAAGAGGCTGGGATAAAATTACATTGTTTTCTAGTGTTGTAAAGAAGTTTCTGCCCTGTCATAGAACTGAATGGTATCTGAACATGTGTCTCAAACTACTGTGTGCAACAAGTAATTAAAAACAAATGCGCTAGATACGCTCTTCTTTTAACTCCTCGATGTCAGATTTGTCATCAGCTATTTAAAAATCCAAATAACATACAGTTTTCCAAGATTCATGTGGATACACTTTGAGTGAGTGGTTTCTGAAATATCATATCAGTGCTACCACAGCAGCAGTCAGTATTCCTCCTTGGTGGTTAGAAAAATTCTCTTGGTTTTTTATTTTGTTTAGCTGTGTACATGCATCGCCAATTGCCCCCCTCCACCTTACCCCTCCCGCTATCACACAAAGACCTTTGGTCAGCCTGTGTTCCCACTGCTCTTACAGTGTCTTTGAAATCAACAGATTTGTACTAAAAGTTTTGAGCGTACTGGAGAGGCTCACAGCACACAAAAGGTTAAATAACTTAACCAGTAATTACTGCTCTTTTAACATTTCTTTTTTCTTCAATCTGGTATTCATTCCATCTCTAACCTTGTTCCTGAGATCATTTACCGTTAGTGTAAAACAAGAATCCCTCTTTGTTATCTACACTGAGGTCTTTGAATTAAGCCATTTGAATGGGAGATATGTTAGGTATGGTTCCGTAGGGTTTATTAATGAAAATTGTCTTAGAAAATATGTCTGTTTCATTTGATTCTGAGGAATAATTGGTTAATGAGGGAATGATTACTTTGTTCAGACATGATTACTGAAGAAATGTTTAGTCCATATGTTCCTGAATAATGGGAAATTCTCAAGTGAAAGAGGACAATGATTAGAAGAAATCAGATAGCTAGAGAATATATTCCCCAACGTGTTACAGTAGTTTTTATTAACAAGCCAGCTCCAAGGATAGTGTTTCTCTGAACAGGCATGGAAGTTCAAACTACCTAATCGGTTTAAACTGTTTGTTGAAAAAACAGTAGGTAGTTTTCTTTGTTTTTTAGATCAAAGAGCTGTAGCTTCCTCTGATAAATGATGTGAGTATCACAGCTGTTTGCCTTCCTAGTTTCCTCTCACCCAAAATCAATTCATTATTGGTTCCTTCATAGGCATATACAATACATTAAGATTTACTCATTTCTTTTTACTATCACTTATTGGTTTCATCTTGGCATGGGAATTCAGCTTTTTGGGGTTGTGAAGTACAATGGGTACACAGACATTCTAGCTGGTGTAAGTGTCAATGCTTATAATTAATTAAGGATGCCCAACTGCTTTCATTATCGTGGGTCATTTTAAGTTACTTAAAATTTTCTCTCTCTTACTTTACAGCTGAAATTTGATATGCTTGCTTGCAGTGGATTTTTTTTTTCTGAAAGCTTCATCAAAATGGCTTCAAGCATAGGAGTGAATAAAATGCAGCTAAGACAAAACAGAAATTGCAACCTTTTTCGACCAGCTCTAGCACCTCAGCAGAAGATGATGGAGGCTTGAAAACTGGCAGGCACTCAGGACCCAGTTCAGTCAAACAATTAAACACGTACTTAACTTTAAGATTGTGAACAATCCCTTTGACCTCCATGGGAAGGAGAACAGAGACACGGAGGCCAGGTGACTCGCCCAAGCTCACACAACAGCATGGGTATGTACTGAATGCTCACTTCATAGGAAACAGCTTAAAGTACCTTTTTGTTGTTGTTCTCTTCCTTCAGGGGTAATCAGCTCCTCACTGAGCTCTTACTATGGGCAATCAATATCCAGACTTATACTTCATCAATTCTGCAGGAAAATTTATTGTTTCATTTTTCATAAGCAAAGCTGTAAGTATTTGTCAATTAAATCCCCAGGTAGTTAGCTTTCAAACAGTCAAATATAAACTTAGCAAATGAAACATCTGTTCAACACTGTTATTTTATAATAACATTAATTGGCAGATGTCTTTAGATGAAGAAAGTAAATGAATCAGTTCTGATTTGTTCTTTTCCACTGAGCTGAACTTGTGGTCATTGAAAAGTACTTACCTCAAAGACCATGGCAGCATGTGAAATATTTCACTGGGCTCAGTCATCTGGGATTTTCTGTGCAGAAAACTGAAATATGAAGGCCAACTGCCCACTGAACAATGTAAATTCAATGTCCAAAAACATACTATTGTGGAGAAAGTTACCCTCACCCTTGTCAAGACTGGTATTTCAATCTACATATAGTTTGCACAGAAGTACTGTGCCAATTCAATTACTGTCTGATTAATGAAGTGTTGCAGGTTTATTTCAGGGGTCTAGCTAGCTATTAATTAGCATATTGGGGCCTATAGTCTGCTGTTTTGCCCTGATATGCTTTGAAAAATCCCAGTGCAATTAAATAAACTCTAATATGCTTTAAATAGTTACTTGAGAAAACACATCCAGGTTTTTTTTTAAAACTCTTATGGGATTTTTAAGCACATCCAGATTTATTGTAAAGCATCGAAAGTTCTTTGCAAAACCCATCATTGCTTTGGTTTACACTAGTCAGCAAAATAACTCTCCACTCCCTAAAGCAAGAGGCTGATTTTGTTCTTGCTATGATTCTGCAATAGGAAGCACTAGTGTGGCCCCTTGAACCCTTGCAGAATCCCATTGAGGTCAGTGGGATTCAGGGTGACCAGATAGCAAATGTGAAAAATCAGGACACATTTTTTCCAGTGCGGGGAGGGGGGGTATAGTTGCATGTATAAGATAAAGCCTCTAATATTGAGACAATGTCACTATTATTGGGATGTCTGGTCACCCTAGTGGGACTCCACAAGGGCCCCAGGGTCCTGCTGGAAGATTTTTTAATTTCGATCATTGTAGATTTTCAGAAAGATCAGTGCAGTATTTAGAAGTGTACTGTACATACACATGCAGACCACATGCACCTTACATGTACATCTTTCATAGGGGCCAGAGAGATATGCTATGAGTCCTCATGTTTTAAGCCATATTGATCACAAGTGCAGTACTGGATTTACAATGGCACCAGGCCCATATTCAGAAGGGGCCCCGCCGCCCACTGCTCCGCCTGCATTCTGCCCCAAGGCACTGTCCCCGCTCGACCTCTTCCCCTCCCAAGGCCCCATCTGCTATTCACTCCTCTCAGTGCCCCCGTCCCCGTGCAAGCGGTGGCCAGGTGGAGGGGGGATAGGACCACGGTCCAGGCGCCGTGGCCCAAAAAAGGTTAATCTGGCTCTGCACAAGTGGGTCAGAGAAACATTTTCCTCCATGCATTAAATATTTACTATAGGTGCATTATGTGAGATGTATGAACTTAGGCTAAATTAATACAAAAAATGAGAGCTGAGTTAGAAAGTTCTGTTTCTGGGCTTTATTAACCCATCTCCTCCCAACTTAAGTATCTTCACTGGCTCACTGTATTTTACTGTATGCAATTCAAGCTACACAGCCTCACATTCAAGGCTGCACAGTCTTGCCTCTGACTAAATTTTTGCTCTCATCTCCTCCTCCTCCCTGTGATCTACATAGTCTCTCTCTTTTTAATTCTCCCTTTGTCTCCTTTTCCCACTCTCACCTTCCAACCTTGCTTTCCCTAGATTTCAAATAGCCTTCCACTTCCTGGTCACACACTTTCCTTCATATCCTGCTTTAAAACTTATAAGTTATTGAAATCCCTTTTCTCCTACAAATCTCAAATTAAAGCACGTTTTGTTCATGATGCCCTTCTTGATCGGCCTGCTCGCCAGTGACGTCTGCACGCTCTCCCACACTTTAATTATTGCTTTGTGTTTGCTTTTGCCCAAGTTAATTGTGTTCTCCTAAGGCCCCATCCTGCTTCTATTGGTGTCAATAGAAATTTTGTCATCATCTTCAATGGGAGAAGGCTTTGGCTTTTACATTAGAAACTATTCTGTGCTTTATAGAACACTGTGCCACTACAGTGCTACCTAAACCCAAAAAGTGCTGAGTTATAGTTAAAGTTGCTAAATGCAAGTTAGGGAAAGTGGTCAAAATAAGGTTTATAAGGGAACTTTCAGTGCAACTTTATCTACAGTGTCAAGGACAGACCTCCAAAGTTTTTTATTATTATTATATTATGCTAAAGAGAAGGATGGAGACTGCAGCTAGTTATTATTCTCAGCAACTTCTCTTTACTGACTGTCCTTTGAGTTTTGTCCTTGAGTCCATGCATATATATATAATCCTTAAAAAATCAAACCACCATCCACTGGCAATTTCCTGTGTTTTCTTATATAACTCCTCCAGATCCCAGTCCAACATGGTACTTAAGCATGTGTCAACTTTAAGCATGTGACTTATTCCACTGACTTCAAAAGAATTATTCACATGCTTAAAATTAGGCACATGGTGAAGTATGATCTGAATTGGGACCAAAAACTATTCGTTTAACATTTCACGCTGTTACTGTTTTATAAACATAGAGTGTTGTTTCATACTGTAACCTGCCTTTGGTTATTTCATGTAACTGAAGCTAACTACAAGGTTGTAGTGGTATTCTAAATTGTTGTACAGTGCTAAATAATTTGCTTCTAGTAGGGGATACTGAACGTGATCCTTAAATGTATTGATTGATTGACAGACTAGTCCATCAGGGCACCATTCATTGGTGCAACTGGGGATGTTGAAAGGAAAACTCGTTATGAATTGATAGGACTAGTCCATTTGAAAAGAGGTACAGGGTAACCTTTGTCCCTAGGCACCACGATCCTGCCTCCTCCTCCCACCCCAGCCCCACCTCTTTACCAGGTGATTTCAAAGTATCTTTCGGTAGCTATTCAAGAGGAACTATTCATGAATGTTTTACGGGACTATCTAATTCAGTATAACTAGCATACGACAATTTACAGTTCTAAAGAAATGCTTAGATTATCTATGTATCCATCTGTTTCTTTCCTTTAAACACACAACACTGTGGTATCTGAGCAATGACCTTTTTAAATAAAGCGAAAAATGTAGCGTTTTAGAGGAAGGGTTTCAAAAGGACAAATTACAGTGAGGTGCCCAACTACCGATGACTTTCAATGACAGTTAGTTGCATAATTACCCCTTGTGTCTTTGAAAGTCTTTCCCGAAACATTCTATAGTCTTTCCTTGTTCTTAGCATGTCTCTTTGTTTGATGTCAAAGAGTAGTTATTGGGGAAAAACTCATTTAAACAGATTAATCTCTTAACGTTAATTGTCCTAAAACTGACAAGTGAGTTAATTCTGTAATGTCAATCACTCGCAGATGAGCCTGCCCTCATTAAAGGAGATAATGGAGACATTTTGGAGGATGCTTCAAGGAGCTGACCAACATCATTCTAGGACAACTGATTTCCACCCAGAACATGACCTAACAGGTAGGTAGAATATGGCTGAAAGTGACTTTGCAATGACTTTGGGGACAGTGGTTTGCTTGGATTTTTAATTTATATTTTCCTGGAAAGTATACTGGCTCCATTTGAAGACTCTGAGAAAGCAGACAGAAGAGCCAGGAGTCCAACAACTATTACCATTTTACTCATTGTGTAAGTCCAATTTCTAACTAATGAGTACGGAGTAGCTTTGCCTCTACAGTGGACTAATTTGGTGTGGTCAAAGGAGTTTGCTGATGTGAGGGGGGGGGGGAAGCTGTTTGTTCTTCTCTAGGAAAAATGTTTAATCAGCTTCATATGGGACAGTGAATGTTTTGTTAGAAATATTATTTTCTGGTTATAAGCCCATCTTTGCCTTCCTCTCTTGAATAGTTAGGGTAAGTCTACATAAAAACCCACGGCTGGCTTATGCCGGCTTATGCAGCTCAAGCTGGGGGGGTTGTTTAACTGCAGTCTAGACATCTGGGCTTCGTCTGGAGCCCTGGTTCTAGAACCCTGAAAGATGGGAGGATCCCAGAGCTCGGGCTCCAGCCTGAGCCAGTACATCTACATCAAAATTAAACAGCCCCGCACCCTGAGCTGCATGAGCCCAAGTCTGCTGGCATGGGCCAGCAGTGGGTGTTTAATTGCAGTGTACCCAAACCCTTAGTGACTTACAGTATTTCATAATCAACACTTACCCACCAAACAATGTGACATGAAACTACTGTTCTAAGTCATGGGATAGGAGAAAAGTCATACATTATTTGTGATGTTCCGCAGCCTGACAATTGTTTTTTTCCCCCTTGCATGGCTTCTGGGGCTGGAGAGCCAAGCAAACCCTCACAGGCTCTGTGATTCTACAACTGGACAATCTATAAAATGTGTGCTGTGATCTCAAAGCTAAGTGGATCAGGCTGGGTCAGTTCTTTGATGAGACCTCCAGGGAAAACTCAAGTGCTACATGCAAACAGTTGGTCTTGGTGATCTATTTTATTATACGTATAAAGCTATTTTGGTCAATAATGAACCAATATCCCACCATTATGGAAATGGAAATGAAAATGAATTAGCTAAAATTACTGTTAACAGTGAAGGAGGTTTCTTAGTTCTACTCCCATTGATGAGAGCAGTAGAGTGCAACTGGGGATTTTGAGAGGAAAACTCTTTATCCGCCCTCTGCTTAATTAAAATACATTAGATACATGGATTTATTTGAGGCTTTGATGTTGAATGAAGACAAATAAAATGCTTTATGAAAAGTGATGCAACACATTATTTAGTCTGAATGAGCAATTCTGTTCTATCAATACTTAGGCTTGTATTAAAGCACATGCCTTACACCTATTGAGCTGTGTGCATTATTCTATTGAGCGCACATACGTTACATGTTAAGGCTAATAATGCCTGTTGTTGGAGGTAGTTGGCACCAGGAGTCTGATCACGCACACTGGCAAAGAACGGCTGCTGCAGGACAAGATACCTCCCGACAGGCTGGAGACTTGTGATGTGGCACACACTGTGCTTTGCTTCTGAACAGGAGCGAAGTGCATCCTGTTCTGTTCTCGGCCAATACATACTGCAGCATATGCACTAACCTGCTATGAGGCTGGACTCATCACCTTTTGCATCAGATCACACTTTATGGGGAAAAGTAACATGTTCTAACTATCTCCCACTCCAGAAGCAACACATGCTGCTTGGCTTGCACTGAGCATTCTCACACGGACTAAGCGGCTCAGTAACACTGCTGAAGCCAGCTGCCCTCACTCTGCCCCCCGCTATCAGCAGGCATGGCTCCTCTCTGTCCCACTCTTCTGAGCTATGGTAGGATTCTGCCTACCACCTGATACAGGGGGAGACTCAGTCTCCACTCCCCGGGCCCACATCCATTAGCAGAGGGTAGAATTTATCATGCCGGGTATACTGATTATTTATATGTGTTCTATGTACAGTATTTACATACATTTATTGTTTACCGGCTGACGACATATGTGTACAAAAACAGTCATGTCAGAAATATGTGTTCTGTGCCTAACTGTCCTCAACAGCTTTTTTCTATGTACTTCTGAGTAAATCTGCATTGCACTTTGTGATGTTTTCAAAGTCAGGGTTTCACCCAATAGGCCACACTGTTTCCTTTTAAACTATTAAGCTCTATTAGTATAAATGCTAACATGTAAAGTTAGCAAATTGAAGGTAGCAGTTGAACTATGCAAAGCATTGATCTGAGCAACCGTGTCAGTTTGAGGCTGGTATTATTTTCACATATATGCAGTAAAGGGGCAAATCTAGCCCCTTTTCCATGGAAGCAGGGGGCAGAAAGATGATGCACAAGGCACAGGAGGGGAGGCATGGGCTGGTTATGGGAGACACCAGAAACCTGTTGCTTTACAGGCTTCCCAACCACCCTACCAATGCAGGAATATGTGTAATGTTTCCTTGGAGCATATTCCTGCTATTGGCTGTATTCCCCTCCTCAGAATGGCTGTGCATCCACAGAGTCTGTTGGGGTTATGATCCCTCCTCTTCAAACTCCTTGCATGGCTCCCAAACACAGAAAGCAACTACTGGGGGGTCAGGGATGACCTCCTTTTCTCCTTACTCAATTTACTCCTAATACTTTACAATTTACTCCCAACTTACTCCTCCAAGTTTTTCTCCTTACTCAATTTATCCTAATATTTTGTGCTAAAATTCAGTATGGATTTTTGGGTAAGCAAAGCTGTCCATTCATGCACAATGATGATTATTTAAAGGAAATAATGTGTTCTTTAAATGATAAAAAATAGATAAATGATGTATTCCACTTTAATGGCTAGTAAATTGCAACACTTTATTTCCAAACACAGAGGGCTGGTGAAAATTACCATAGCTCCATGGAATTCAATTCAGCTATGCCAATTGACACCATTCAGGATCTGTCCCCAAGCCTCTTTTGGCTCTGCAAGGGAGTAAGGAAATGATGGGGAGAGAGAGGCTGTTCCCTGGAAATTTTCTTCTAATTTTGCAAAAATAAAGAAATAGAAAAATCCTAGCTTGACAATCTATGCCAAGTTTCAGCCTACAGACAATTTTTATGGCTGAGATATAAACCCCTGAAGTAAAAATGCAGACACACCGTTAAGTATAGTGTTGCAAATGCAATATTGTAATTTTATATGTTAATCTATCAATACACAGTATGTGCAAACATATGTTTATAGACATAGAGACTGGCATGTATAAATGAGAATAAAAAATCCCTATTTCTCATTTGGTGCTATGCAATTTCTATCAATTTAGGAATATATCTTGATTTTATTTTAGGATGACAAACTGTAAATTGTGCTTACTTGAGAACTCTCTGACGGTTTATAAGATAAAAGGGAAAAGGTGTCTTTCAGAAGCTCTCCGGTGACCTAAAACAAACTAATAAATAATACAAAAATTGTGGCCCTTCCCTGCAAACATGTTACCAATGTTCTCTTTGAAGCAAAACGTCAGCTAGGAGATAGTTCTCGGATGGTTAGGAGTTACTAGAAAATACGATGCCTACTAAACACATAAAAAAAAAGGTTGTTTAAGGGTTAGTTTGTCTTTTATACTCAGATTACAAGAAAAATTATAAGATCTTTAAATGAAGTATTTTACAGAATTGGCAGATGGCTTTAATTTGTTTTTGTGGTACAGAATCCTGTTCTAATTTTGTTTTTGATGAATGTTCAGCATGTTCTGGACCTATTAGGACTTTGTCTACTTAAAATGGAATTTGCAAACTATAGATATGATTTAAAAAAAAAAAAACAATATACTTAAGTTGTTCCAGTGACTGGGAGACCCAGACTTCAAAGTTGCCTTTGTGACTCTCACTTACTAGGCTGGTAGGGATGTGGCGAAATGTGGAGATCATGCATTTGGGCCCCAGGTCAAAAACGATAGTGTCTATTTAAGGAGTGTCTTCCTGACTAATTAGTATTTGTAAAGCTTTTAACTAGATTTCTCCTCCAGTGTCCCCTCAGGAGGGTGATTACAGTCTGGCTGCATACTTACTGTGGCAACGAGGGTGGAAGGGTGATTTTAGGCCCTACCTGTGAGTCTTGCTGGCTGCCTTCTTCCTCGCTCTCTCCATGCCTTCTATACTGTTCTGCCCCCTGCTGGAGGGGAACCAGTGCCACAAAGGCCTGGTCTACAGTACGCGGTTATTTCGGAATTAGGCAAGTTACTTCGAAATAAAACTGATTCCATCCACACAACCAAACTAGTTTTTTCAATTTAAAGGTCTCTTTAATCCGATTTCTGTACTCCACCTCGGCAAGTGGAGTAGCGCTAAAATCAAGATCGTAGTTCTGGGTTACAGGTACTATGGACGCAATTCGATGTTATTGACCTCCAGGAACTATCCCAGAATGCTCCTTTGTGACGGCTCTGGATAACACTCTCAACTTCGATACACTAGCCAGGTAGGCAGTAAAAGCCCTGGGAACTTTTGAATTTCCCTGTTTGGTCACCATCGGCACAGGTGACCATCAGCACAGTCCACCATCACAGACGACCATGCAGAGTCCACCATCACAATAGATCACACAGTCCTGGATTTGCAGACGAGCTCCAGCATGGTCCAAACGGGAGGTACTGGATCTCATCACATGTGGGGGAGATGAATCTGTTATGGCAGAACTACGTTCCAAAAAAAGAAACGCAAATATGTACGCTAAAGTCTCCAGGGCTATGACGGAAAGAGGATACTCCAGGGACACAGAGCAGTGTCATACAAAAATCAAGGAGCTCAAGCAAGCATACCAAAAAGCCAGGGAGGTGAACAGGCGCTCTGGGTCACAGCCCCAAACATGCCGCTTCTACCGTGAGCTGCATGCAATTATGGGGGGTGACGCCACCACTACCCAACCACTGTCCATGGACACCTGCAACGGGGGAGTAGCACAGAGCGAGGAGGATGAGTTTTTGGAGGAGGAGGACAGTGCACAGGCGGCAAGTGGGGAATCTGTTTTCCCCCCCTAGCCAGGAACTATTCTTAACGCTGGAGCCAATAGCCTCCATGCACTCCCAAGGCATGCTCCTGGACCATGATCCTGGAGAAGACACTTCTGGTGAGTGAGAGCATGATCGGAGCCACGCAGTGCAGGGTGGGGGGAAACCCAGCCATGCTGGGCTGTTCGCATTTAGGTTAAAGGGCTCATCCCTGCTCAGAGCCTCATCGGAGCCATGTGGTGTGGGGGAGGGGGGGAGGGAGCGGGTGTTGTGTGAAGCGATCATCCCAGAGAGCCCGCAGGCCCTCCTTTTATATGGCAAACCCACCAGGCATTGCTTGCTATGGGAAAGGGGGCCCGGCAGTTTGAAAGGATTGAAATGAATGCAGAAGAAGCAGAACCAAGCATGACCCTAGAGCTTACCATGGCTGCCTGCAAGCTGAATACTGTTGCTTGGCCGCATGTGATGGCTTACTCACACCAAAGTGGCAGGCACTTCAGCATAAGAGGCAAAAAGAGACCTTGTACAGAGAGAACATGTGCTGAGTACTATGAATTGCCTGTTTCACTGAGAAAGAGTGTCCCCTTTATTCTCGAAAATGTATCTTTTAAAATACTACCCTCCATTTTTCTCCTCCCACAGCAGGTGCAAATGTTTCAATGCGGCCCCTATCTACTCCATCCCAGAGGCTGGTCCAGATTAGAAGGCGGAAAAAATGAACTCGGGATGAAAATGTTTGCCAAGCTCATGCAGTCCTCCTGCACTGATAGGGCCCAGCTGAATACGTGGAGGCAGACAATTGTGGAGGCCCTTAAAGTGTTACATGAATATGAAGAGAGGAGGGACGTGCGCGATGAGAGCAGGCAGGATGCTGTGGTCAAGCTCATGGGGGAGCAAATTGACATGCTCTGCTGTATGGTGGATCTAATGTGGGAAAGGCAGCAAGACCACAGACTGCCACTGCAGCCCCTGAATAACCACCCTCCCTCCTCCCCAAGTTCCATAGTCTCCTCACCCAGACGCCCAAGAACACGCGGGGGGAAGGCTATGGGGACCCACACAGTCAACCCCAGAGGACTGCACAAGCAGCAGAAAGCTGACATATCCTAAATTTTAATTTGGTTTCTGGACTTGTCTTTCCCTCCTCCACCACCCCCCTAACCCAATACCACCCCTCCCCCATCTGGCTTCTGATTTCTCTCAATGTTTTGTGCAACAAATAATAAAGAACGGTTTTTAAACAATTGTGACTTTATTTCCTTTCTTATATATAGGGGGTGGGTAACTTTAAGAGAAACAAGCACAACTGTCACACCGTACCCTGGCCAGTCATGAAACTGGCTTTCAAAGCTTCTCTGATGTGCAGCATGCCCTGCTGCGCTCTTCTAATCGCCCTGTTGTCTGGCTGTGTGAAACTGGCCACCAGGTGAGTTGCCTCAACCTCCCATCCCACCATAAATGTCTCCGCCTTACTCTCACAGATATTGTGGAGCACACAACAAGCAGCAATTACAATTGGAATATTGGTTGTGCTGAGATCTAACTGAGTCAGTAAACTGCACTAGCATGCTTTCAAACGTCCAAAAGCACATTCTGCCACCATTCTGCACTTGCTCATACTACTGTCCAGGGTGCCTGTGTACGGATTCATGATCCATGGCATTAAGGGGTAGGCTGCGTCCCCGAGGATAACTATAGGCATTTCAACATCCCCAACAGTAATTTTCTGGTCTGGGAAATAAGTTCCTTCCTGCAGCTGTTCAAACAGACCAGAGTTCCTGAAGATGCAAGTGTCATGCACCTTTCCCGGCCATCCCACGCTGATGTTCATGAAACGTCCCTTGTGATCCACCAGTGCTTACAGCACCATGGAAAAGTACCCCTTGCAGTTTATGTACTGGCCACCCCCGTGTTCCGGGGACAAGATAGGGATATGCGTTCCATCTATCGCCCCGCAGCAGTTAGGGAACCCCAGCACATTAAATCCATCCACAATAGTCTGCACATTTCCCAAAGTCACTACCCTTGATAGCGGCTGGTCAATGATTGCATTGGCTACTTGCAGCACAGCAGCCCCCACTATAGATTTGCCCACTCCAAACTGATTCCCAACTGACCGGTAGCTGTCAGGCGTTGCAAGCTTCCACAGGGCCATGACCACTCACTTCTCAACTGTGAGGGCTGCTCTCATTTTGGTATCTTTGCATTTCAGGGCAGGGGACAGCAAGTCACAAAGTTCCATGAAAGTGGCCCTATGCATATGAAAGTTCCTCAGCCACTGGGAATCATCCCATATCTGCAACACTATGCGGTCCCACCAGTCTGTGCTTGTTTCCTGGGCCCAGAATCACGGCATGAACCTGGCCCAACACCACCATGATCTCCCAATTGCCACATGCCATGCTTCTAGGAACATCTGTGTCCATGTCCTCATCACTATTGTAATCGTGCTGTCATTGCTTCCTCACCCGGTTTTGCAGATACTGCACATACTGCTTGATAATGTGCAAGGTATTTACAATGGTCAAAACTGCAGTGGAGATCTGATCAGGCTCCATGGCTGTGGTGCCTGCATGGGTAATCCTGGAAAAAGGGCGCGAAATGTAGGAGAGCAGAGTGGCAGCGGAAGAGGTGCTGTTTGGTTCATGATAGCCAAAAAAAGGTGGGAAATGGTTGTCTTCTGTAGCTTTCACGGAGATGGGAGCCCAGGACAGTCAACATAGAGAAGCTGGGAAGTGTGACAATAGTGGGAGAGCAGAGTTAGAGGCGGAAGCTGTGCTGCTCGGTTCACGATGGCCAAGCAGAGTTGGCAGCGGAAGCGTTCGATGAGGAAGAGAAAGAGTATATAGTAGAGATTACATAGGAAGATGAGAGGAAATGAGAGGTGGATTCATAGTAGCAGGAGAGCAGCGGTGCACCATCTGCTGAAAGCAGTATGGCATCTGCACTCTAAAAAGGCATGAAACAATTGTAGCTTTCACGAAGGCAGGAGCGACTGATGACACACACCCAGAAACACCCACGAGAATGTTTTTGCCCCATCATGCACTGGGAGCTTAACCCAGAATTCCAATGGGCGGCGGGGACTGCAGCAACTGTGGGATAGCTACCCACAGTGCACCACTCTGACATTCAATGCTAGCCTTGGAACTGTGAACGCACTCCACCGAATTCACATGCTTTAGTGGGGACACAGAAGACCAAATGTATAAAATAGCTTCCGAAAATTTGAATAGTATAATTTTGAAATAATTTCGTACTGTAGATATACCTTGAGAGAGGAGGAAGAGAGAGAGACTGGCTGCCTGCTTACAAACATCACAAAGGTCCTAAGTGCCCAGGAGGAGATATAGCAGAGGAATTTGCTGCTTGCCCCTCCCACTGCAGCTGGATGCCTGAGATTCCAGCAGAGCTGCTTAAACACATGAAGGGGAAAAAATATGAGTGTCATGACCACAGCTGATCAAAATTTTCCAAAATTCAAACTTTCAATAACTTTTATGAATATTTTTAGTTTCTGACCATCACCTAGAAAGTTTTGATGACATTTTCACACCTTTGTGATGTGTTTTTCTAATATTACAGAGCTGGTAGATTATTTTTAAGTTTCAAAATTTTGATAGTTGATTATTTCTAATTTCATTGAAAATATGTAAAAAGAAATTTAACAAAATGATCATTTTTTTTTTGCACTTTGTCTACTTTTGTTGTCATTAGTCATCACACTTGGTAGTTCAGCTTCCTAGAACACTCTGGTCTTGAGACAGACAGTGCAAAATGTAGATATATAATTATTCTAATTGTTATTATTTATTATTTAATATTACACCTCATAAAGGATGGGTCAAATCTTCCTCAAACTCTGCCCCTTCTTCTCCACTCCCAAAACATTTTCTCTGACAGGAGAGCACATAGTTGAAGTGGGAAAGACACTTGTGGAAGTCAGGAGGAGGAGTCAAAAATCAGGCTGATCATAAAAAGTGTTTTATACTTGTATGATGGAGTCCCTACCATGGTTTTGTAATAAAGAAGTATCATGTAGTATTGTCTCCTTTCCATTTCCCATGGATCTTCAAGGCACTGAGAAGGATAGAATGCTGTGATTAGTGTCAAGCTTGGAAAAGGTTTATTCACATTTTACAAGTCAGACAGAAGAGTAGATAGCAGCCATTCAGCCAGCTTTGTTCGTGGCTTTTTGTGGAAAGAAGGATTTAGTACTTAGCCACACATTGTAATTACACTGTGTACAATAACCCCAGTCCCTCCTTTGAAAAGTGCCTTTCCCAGAAATAGTACTAAGGAGCTCTGACTCAGGCCAATCATGCTTTTTGGCAAGACCCCATTATATTTCAAATGCAGGCAATGGACGTCCCTTTGTATTGTAAATTCTGGCAATAGCCAACTAATTCTACTTAAACCAACAGCTAATGTTGGCTCCATTTCTTTTAAATCCCTTGTTCTCCACAGACCATATAATCAGAGGGACAGGCTGCTCATGGCTTCCCTGGTGCTCAACTGTATGCAGGTCATGACAAAGCCTAGTTTTTGGATGGATGGCACTCAGTGCATAATGCCTTGCTACCTGTGAGTAAATGTGCATATGTGTGTGTGTGTGAAAAGCACAGCAGTCTAATGTTTATAACCTTTAAAATACAAAGGAGTGGGCATCTCTCTTATTTTTGTACTGTTTCTTTCAAAATTAAAAAAGAAAAGATTTGCCGCTTTTTTTCAGCAGCCCAGGCAAATCTGCTCACACAATATTATCAACATTATATTATAAACAAAAACTTTAACTCAAAGGTCAAATATTCATTGCACAGGAACCACTCTGTCAAAGAAAAACAAAACACTTGTTAGCACCTGTCCCTTTGGCAAATTATGTAGTTCCATTGCCCGATGCACCAACCAGACACTATTATTTTATTAGCATTACATTCAACCGTTTATAAAAAGGCACCAGCAAATGCCAAATAATTGTTTTTGTGGAGTAGGAATATTTACCTTTAATTTAATCAATTTAATTTACCTATTTAAGTTATTAATTAAAAGTCAAAGATTCATCACACATGTCACTTCTCTTAACAATATAAATGCATAATAATAAACACACCTGTCATACATCAACATTACTGCACTACACAAAGTTAGCTATTGTGTATTTATGGTCAATTTGGAGGAAGGAGATATATATAAAATAAAATAAATATACTAAATGCAAAAAGCCAAATTAGTGCAATGTTAAGTTGCATTGAAGTAATCCTAAATAAAATCAGGTAAAAGGAAAAATGTTACCGTCCAACAGCATCACCACATAACACACACCCAGTATGTGGCATTTTGACAACATACTGTAAACAGCAATTACACAATATATTTAACTAGTGTACATTTTTCATTTCATTTCCAGGCTTTTTTAAAAAGATTTTTTTAATTACCTTTGCTTATTGATGTTGGTGTTTAATGGTCCTAGTTAGGTTCTGCAGTTCACAGCTTTCTCAGGCCAATGAAATGTGGAACAATAAGTTTCCTCTTTTGCTGCTGTTCTTCTTTATCTGGAGAAAACAGCCTTGCAAAACTGTTATAAAATTTTACCAGCCCAGGAACAAAATCTATTCGCCCACCCTTTACTTTTATGATGAAGTTAATGAAAGAAAAAAAATCCACACTAATGACATTTTACTTGCCTTAATGGAGTATTTGGACATTTTTGTTGTAAGTGTTTCAATTAGAGATGGGCCTGAGCTAAAACCACTTACCTAAAGAAAACTTTGGGGATGTTCAAAATTTCAAACTCATCTATATCTACAATTCTGAAAACTACTCCTATCTTGATAATAGGCTGAACCAAACATCCAAACAGCTCTTTCACAGTAAGGGTGTATGGGTTCAAAACGAAGATGTGAATTATGAGGCTTGTACCAGTCTCTAGTTTCAATGAGATATTTACATTCACCCCATGCAAATTGCCTAAGCAGCAACTCCTGTCAGACTGTGCAGAGACAATGGGCATTGTTTTTACAAAATGGGATGAGCCTTATTAGGCTCTGCTAAAATCTTAGCTAAAACCACTGAGCATGCTGAGATGTGATTTAAAAATAAACCCCCCAAACTGTGCAAAGGCACTGGTTTTCAATGAGGGCTGCATGCATACCAAGTTGCATGTTTTAGACACTAGCTGATTTTGC